CACTCTCGCACTTCCTCTTAGTCTCCCCTGCTTTTATTTTTCAAATCAACATAATGGACACTTTGCCCGGCAGCAACGGCTCAGCGCCGGCTCCCCTGCCCACTCTATCCCTCCCCCTCTCACTCATTCAGCGACGATGGGCATCACATAAAAATACAAAGGCAAACTTCACTTTTGGCTTTGACAGCTGACACGAAATGCAAAAAGCAACGCATTTTGTGTGGGTGGCCCAAGGGTGGCTGACGCAAAATATGCAAGCATCAAACCAAACACAACACTCACACACACACACACACAGAGAGACATTCGCACACACACGCATACACCCGCTCTCTCAGCGCTCTCTTCCAGGCATCGCATTCCATTTCATTCCAGCTCAAACCTACCGCAGATGCAGATTTCTGCTTTGGCCTGTCACTCATTAAGCATTTCGCCAACTGCAACTTAGTTCCGTTGTTTTCATTGTTGTCCTTGTCATGCCAAGTGTCACAACAGTCGCCTGCATTTCGTTGATTTTACGAGCGTGTGACAAGCAGCTAAAAACGATTGGGAATTCTGCGAAGCAGAATGTAAGACTTCTCTTTCGATTAGTTTGACGCAACAACAACGCCTTGAGCCATGGAAATGCCAGCAGGGGGATGCAGAATTAAAAGAAAAAAAAAAACACTAATAAATGCCAAAATAATCATAGTTCAGTATTTGTATAAACTCAATTGAGCATTTTCATTTTTATCATGTTAAGCCCAAGAAACCCCTTTGACCCTTATCTACGCCTCTGTCAAGTTGACAACATGTTGCCCACATATTTAGCGCGGTTGCTGCTCTGATTGAGTATTTGTCCAAGAAATATATTTGACTCCCTCACTCCTCCGCTCTCGGCGGATTTGCGTAGCACTTTGTGCTCCTCTCTTTCGCATTTTGTTTTGTAGGCGAATATTAAAATATTTCACACGAAAAACTTACACGAGTGCGTGCGTCTGCCTATGTACATACATATGTGTGTGTGTGTGTGTGTGGCTGCAGTTTTGTGCTATTTTTACATCGCTTCGCTGCGGCAGAGCAAACACAGCTGGGCCTTTAACATTAACTGCGGGACGAGGCTGGGCCACCGACTGCGTCGCTTTGCTTATCTAATGGGCTGCAGTTGCAGCGACTGTGGCGTCGGCGGCGCGACTGCTGCTTATCGCTATTTCCATTGTTGTTGTTATTGTTACTCCTGCTGCTTCGCCCGCACATACAATACAGACATGCATATGCTGAGCGCTCAGCCTCTGCCGCGCTGCTGCCGCTGTGTCACTCTTTGAGCTGCTGTCTCCGACTCTTTCTCTTCTACGTTTTGTTTGCTGTTGTAGTTGTTAATTGCTCGTCGCTACTTTCTTGCACCCTTCACAATGCGCCGTTAATCACAGCAGAGCTGCGGTAGAGTGTGTATGAGTGAGTGAGAAAGAGAGAGAGAGGCAGGGAGAGGGCCGCACACATCAATGTAAAATTGTTGTTGGTTTTCGTTAATGGGTTTTTATTTGTTTATATGAGCGTCTAGAAAATATGATGCGTCTGCATATGAGGGACATCCCCTCTGGAACCCCCTTGCCCCTCTCTGCACTTCTATTGACCATTTGCGCTTTTAGTTTTGCGCGCTGCTCATGGGAATTTTTACAACTGTTTTCCATGACAAGTGCTCTTTAAGTATGAGTCGGGGAAGGGGGAGGGGTAAAATTTCAGTTGTCATTTTTCGACTCAAGTTATTTTTTTTTTTGTTCACTCTTATACTATGTTATTAGAGCCGCCCCAGTTGTGTGTATATTTAAGTGGGCGTGTTCTTTGGCTTTGACTAGACAATTGAAGCTTTTAAGTTTTATATCTTTTCGCGGGGTATTATTAATTTGAATTTTTAATGTGTAACAAAATGTTGTTTACAGTATGGTAAAAGTTTTTTTAAGCAGGCTGATTAATGGCAATGGAATTAAAAATGATAAATTTTGTAGTGCGTAATGTAAAT